ATAATTAAAACTTTGCATAAGTATATGACGCACGTGAATACAAAAAAGTGAAGTGTTGCCTCATGATCGATCGTTTCCTTTCATCAGCACTAGATTACAAATGATATAATTAAAAGTTAATTCGTACCTTTGAAGACAGCGAAGTTAAATTAATCCTTTTTTCTTCTTCTTCTTCCTTTCACAGATATAAGCGTAACTGTAATTTGCCGTTTCCGTTATTTTTTTGTTCCGTTTTTTGTTGTTTGCAACAAGTAGGTCTCCTTTATTCTGAAAACTTTTCTTCAGTCGAGTGGATTAGTCAGCGTTCGCATAATCCGTTGGCACGCGTCTTTGCCTTTGCAGCCACGAAACATTTGAAGAATCTTGAGCATTTCTCATATCGTAGGAGCGTATGTATCGTGTAATGATAGAGACCACGTCATAGTGTTTATCTTACAGAGTTATTTTTCACGAGATTCACCGTGGGATCTAATCGATCCTTCGCGTTCCTCCTCGATTTCTATTCCCCTATCGCGATGATGTTAATTCTCGTGGAATACGTACTATTAATCGTAGTCTATGATCGATTTCGACAAAATTCTGGTGTACTGTAGTTTGAAAAAAAAATTCAAAAAATTTTTCACACGTGTTTCTTTATATTAGTGATTTTGCACAGCAAAGGTGAAAATCGCTTTCAAAGTTGGAGTGTAGTAATAAAATATTTAGATTAACATCGCGAAAATTACTAGAGGTAGACGAATAGTGTAAATTGGCGAACTTTGCATTTATCAACAAAGAAAAAATTGAGAAATGAAAGATAATAAGTAATTTCGCATTTTTCAAATTTTGTCAGTGAAGAATACAAGATTCGTCGATTAACATTATCTCCCTATAAATATAGAATGTTTACTTTCTTCAGCTTTAAGGGCGATTATCATCACTTCGGTGTAAACGATTGCCAATAAAAGAAAAATACGCGTCAAATATTTTTCCCAGTACTACAATATACCAAAGTTTCATCAAAATCGGGAGAACATAATAATTTCTAAACTCGCGATAATCTTGATCGATCATTTCTAAAATTCGATTGATTTCTGTAAATCAACGGCGCAACAAGCTTTCCTTATTTCCATAATTCTAATGACGTTCGGCGTCCGAGCCTTTTTATCATTTCCCCGGCGGTGTACAATTTGCACGACCGAGCACTCCTATAATCCGTAATTTCCGGCTTTTCGCAGACGGCTCAATCAGACCGGCGGAAAGTTTTGACGTCAGAGCCGGAAAAGTCTGGCCTGGAATCTGTTTCACAATTCTCCAGAGCGGCGCCATCGTCCTGCATCGCCATAAGTCAGAAAGGGCCCATTGTGTCCACTTTTCCTCCATAAACCGTGTCGCGGATCTAATCGCCGACTAATCGCCCACGCAAATACCTGCGTGCTCTCGCGCGGATCGTTAGAGTGCGTTTCCAAGGAGCCCGCTGCGCGTGTACCGGGATATTTACTGTCGGATCAAGGCTGGTAGCGGATTCTACGCTGCGTCCCGCGCGCCACAGAAGAATGCCGTAACAAAGCTTTTCATCGGCTATTTTCGCACTTTACGATAACATCTTTCGGTCTCTTTCTGTTTCCCTACGTGTCTTGCTACGGCGATCCACCGGATCGTTTCCTTATCGTAACGACTGTGTTAACGCGCGCCGATATGCGTGTACCATCCCCCTTTCTCAGCGGACTTAATATCGTCCACTTTTAACGGTACCTATCGTTCGATGAAATTAAGCGCAGAGTTACTCTCTGTTTGGGTTAGAGAGTGCGTTCAATTTTGCCGCTTCGATTTCTTGTATTCGAAATAAAATATAACAATTGAAGTGAAAAAATTAAATTGAAATAGTTAAAATAGAAAAGTTGAATTAAAATAATTAAAAGAAAATGTAATTTGGATTAAATTGAACGGTTGACAATATTTGACACGCCACGATGATATTTCATGGGAGATGAACTTTAGAACGCGGAGAGCTCGAAGCTTTCCTTTTTTTGTTTTTGGTTTTCTAGCAGCGCAAAAGTCATCGTTACTCGTTTACGGGAGCAAAAGCAAAAATCAGCAGAAGTGACTAAGCTATAAGCAGAACAATTTCTTTAGAAAGTGTATATCTACGAGTAAATGGAGAAATCGCGGTGGTATATTTTGAAAAACAGAAGAGGAGAAAACCGAGATTAAGCAGTGATAACTGTATTACAAAATTCCACTTTTCTGGAGTTAATTGATTTGTTAGAAGTAATTTACTACGTCGTAATTAATGGTTTTCAAGTTGGTTAATTGTGATGTTATAGTAATTAAGTGAAAATCGAATATAAAGCATGTGTTTATTTTTAAAATATCCCGCCACATTTGAATTTAACTAATTCATCCTCGAAAAAGAAAATAAACCTTCTTCAAGCTAGAGTAAATTAATAATTCACTAACTTCAGGTACAATTGAACGTTTATTTTTTAACCTTTTTTTTTATCAGTTGCTACATTTGCAATTCATCTTTCTTCTCGTTTTATTAATTATAATCGTAAATCTTTAAGCAATTCGTGCGCCGGTCGTATCATCGGTAAAAACAGAGAGGACGTTGCGCATGCGCGTGGATCCTTAGTAGGTCGCGTCAACGGCTTGAACGAACTCGTCCCGCGCCGCTCGTACAGACCAGTCATACAAAGGTGACTCGAGATATACGACGCGCATTAATCGCCATAATCGACCGAAGAAGAATCATCCATCGTTCGTCTCGAACCTATGAAACAAACCTGTGTAAGTGTCATTCGAGAAGATCACCGGATTCAACTGGTTCGTGTGATTCGAAAGAACCTCAGCAACACGTGAATGTGCGAAGTGAGTGTATCGTACTTGCAACTTTCTCGAAGTTACGTCGTGTCGGAGATTCGTGGGCAGGCACCGCGAAGGGAATGGGATATCGACGGAAAGGAAGAGGAAACGTCTGAAGATAATTGTTCGAGTGACCCACAGGAATATATCGTATCTGTGGAAGGTGTCAGTGCGTAAGGATCGTCGGAAGTTTTGCCAGGAAGACGCGTGAGAGAGGTGCGCGCGCGATAGTAGGTCGAGCGGTGGTTCGATGAAACTCGGCCGTGTTCGGCTGGGCTCGGCACGCTCGAATTCGAAGTTCGTTCGCGGCAGCCGCGCGCTTGCCGCTCGGTCAGTCAGTCAGTCGCACGCGGCACACGAAGGCCTCGAGAACTCGAGGGAGGTTTGAAAACGCGCGAGAAAGCAGAACGTACGAGACATAAGAGAAAGAGGGAGAGAGAGAGAGAAAGAGAAACAGAGACTGGACAAGGTGAAGGAAAGGAACGATAAGTGACTCGAAGGAAAAACAAAATACACAGGGTGAGGAGACGACAGAACGACGGGATCTGCGTCGCGTGTTGCATTCACGTGAAGACTGGAGCCGCTCTAGCGAGTGAGTCGATCTCTCTTCCCGATTCGAGCACTGCGGGATCTTGCGTCGCGCGTTGCATTCACGTGAAGACTGGAGCCGCTCTAGCGAGTGAGTCGATCTCTCTTCCCGATTCGAGAGATCGACTGCCACCCTTCGAGGGCAGCACCGTTTGGCAGACGTCAGAGAAGCTGTCAAAAGTGCGAGAGCAGGGGAAACAAATACCGATAGAGACGAGATGGTGTACGGAGGAAGCTTCGACATGGTGGAAACGGTGAGTCACTTGTTTTTATTTATTTCCAGTGAAGAGTAAAATGTGAACAAACACGTTGAAGTGTGTAGGTAGAATAACAGCTCGCGTGCGTGTCTCTAACGTTGCATTCTTTTCCAATTGTACAACGTTTCGTTTTTCCCCTCGTTTTCTTATTCGAATTCGTACGCAATGTTGTCACGTTTCTTCTCGGATATTTTGATTTCACAAGAGAAAGAGAAATGTCGTTGCGTTACCGTCTCGAATAAATTATAAAAGAATGCAAATACGTATATCACGTTTTAGACAACAATGTGATACACATAATATCCGCGTTTAAAACTTGTTCAAGAAATTGTGTTAAACGAGAACTAGTATTTCAAGTATTCTCTTCCCGTATCCGTGCGCAATGACATAAAAAGAATTGGCGCCAAAACTGTCACCATTCAAACGCTCGTTACGCGCGACACGAATACATCGAAATTAAACGTGAACTTTGAAGTACGTTACTCTAAATAATTAACACCGTGTATGTAAAAACTGCTGCTTACCTAACACAGTGATATTATTACTAAATATGTAACTTGTAAAATTATATATTTACGTTACATAGAATGAAATAACGAAATCTTGCTAACTTAATTACAACCACACACTGCGATTATATAACTCAACCAAAAAAATTAAAAATTTTCCAATTTTAATAAGAAACTATTCTCTTACCCGCTCTAATTGATTCGGTACACTGAAAAACATCGACAATTGCCAAATTACATTTCGCCAACCAGTGAACTTATTTCGAACACACCGTGTGTGTATCTGATCGCATCTGTTCCCGCCAAAACAATTGTTTCACGAATGCTCGCGTTCCCTGAAGGCTGTCGACGCGAGCGACGCATCTACAACGAGCTAGCGGATTTCACGGGATTTTTAACGTGTCGACCCTGGGCAAAGCTCGAGTCTCTCAACTCGGAACTTATTTACACGCGAGACGCACGCACGGCAATTAGAATTAATTTGACCGAGCCACTTTAGAGGCAACGGGTGTTTTACAAGTGAAATGCCATTCTAAGCCTGCTGGTTGACGATAATGAGCAAAAACGTCGTCAACCTGTCGTCTAGGACACCGGATGATTTTTCCGCGGAGATTGAAATTACGCGCGCGCGCGCACAGCCTTTCGTAGCATCTGTCCTTTCGTTAGATCGCCCGGTAAAATTGCGCTGTTGGAGGAGGTATTTTGCAAATCGGTAAGATAAAATTTATCTGGTTTGAATATCTATGCCGATGGATAAAAGGCGAGATTCTAGGAAACACCTTGCATAATATTTTTATCTCACGACCACGGTTTTCGTGTTCACCCCGGTGTATGCAAATACGACACGAAGTATTATGTACAGGAGTAGTTTTTTTTTTTTTTGAACGAATCACACTTTTACGATGAATAATGCAAATCGTGTGATTAGTGCAACGGTTTTGTATACCGGTAATTTAATTATTGTTATTTATGTTTTTCGTGAAAATTAGGGTTATCTTTGTAATTATCTTTGATTGTTTAGTTATCAGAATTATGATACAATTGAGAAATTACTTTCATAGTGACGAGTGTTTTTGTATTCCAATAATTTCATTATTGTTATTTATGTTTTTCTTTGTTTTAGTAAAAATTAAGTTATCTTTCTAATTGTCTTTGATAATTTAGTTATCAGAATTATGATACAATTGAGAAATTACTTTCATCTTGACGAGTGTTTTTATGTTTCAATAATTTCATTATTGTTATTTATGATTTTCGTGAAAATTATGTTATCTCTATAATTGTCTTTGGTAATTTAGTTATCAGAATTATGATACAATTGAAAAATTACTATCATCTTGACGAGTGTTTTTATGTTTCAATAATTTCATTATTGTTATTTATGATTTCCTTTTTTTCGTGAAAATTATGTTATCTCTATAATTGTCTTTGATAATTTAGTTATCAGAATTATGATACAATTGAGAAATTACTATCATCTTGACGAGTGTTTTTATGTTTCAATAATTTCATTATTATTATTTATGATTTCCTTTTTTTCGTGAAAATTATGTTATCTCTATAATTGTCTTTGGTAATTTAGTTATCAAAATTATGATACAATTGAGAAACGACTTTCATCTCGACGAACTGCATAATATACCGAAATTTTAATAGAAATTTCAGTAAAATTAATAGTGTATCTAAGGCTAAACAATACGAACCTAAGTTTTTTATAGGTTTCTAACTTATATTTGCAAGAGTTAGGTGGAAACTCAATTTTTAGAAACAAATTTTTCCTTTTTCTTTCATAAAAATGAAGTTGAATATATTCAGTTTCGCATTGTTTACATTCTTTCATGACGAAATTCGCGATGATCGTCGATAATTCAATTACAAACATTTCATGATGCAATTGCGAAGTGACTTTCATCTTAACAAATTGCACAGCACACTGAAATTCCCATCTAAATTTCAGTAAAAGTAACAAGGTAATATCTACCATTAAATAATATAAACACAAATTCCAACCAACTTGCTGCAAGGGTTAGATAGAAAATCATTGGAATTATTTCAAATAAGTGCACACATCAGTGCGCAGAAAAGTGTTACACCAATTACACGCGGTTTTCATTGAAAGAATTTCAAGCGGCTTGTTATTTCTATGCAAACGAGGGGCAATTTCTCTATCTAAACTTTATGTCGGCCGAAACGGACGTTCTTCACCTGCGATTTTAATCGAGGTTGAGTATCGTTCGAAATTACTCAATCAGCTTATCTTCACCGTGGATCGATGGGAAACGCAGTTTCGCTGTTATGAACGCATTGTCCCAGTTTGTTTAAGTAGATACGGCCCTGTCGTAGAAAGACACAAACAGTCAGAGACAGTCGCGCGGAAGGCTAACTTTCGAATCTACTACCGCTAAACTGTCGGTAGTCAAGCACGAGAAATTCACTCGGCTGTGGTACGTAATGGAAAATTTTGCAGTAAAAACGGAAGCAAAATGCGCTATTTCTCTCTTTCTCTCGAAATCTCGTTAGGGGATGCAATTTTCGCTTTGCAACATTATCGCTCAAGCGAAATTGCC